TTTTTATTTAAAATAAAAAATTTTTGGCTACTCCAGCATTGTTATATTGCGCCACGAGATTCCACAAAAGCTCCTGGACTGATTCATACTATGCTATACGTTGCCCTATTACTGTAGCGGCCCCTTCCGTGATCTTTGCTGCCAAAGAGAATAGGATATCATCCTGATTATCTGGAAAGCATCACAATATGCGTCTGACCAATGCGCTAAAAATCAAAAGTGTCCCCGAGCTTCCGTCAAATATTGGTATGGTGGTAAGCTGATTGTTCAAGGATGGTCCGCAAGTATATAGTTCTGATGTTCTTTCAGTGTTTCTTATTTGTCGGCCGTTCCTTTGTGCGTTGTGTGAGTGTGATTCCGTAGAGTGTGCATTTTTTTGGGGCTCTGCTTGGTAGTCTGCTCGTACGGTCGTTGGTACTGGCCATGTAGGCACGAACGCTGGCCGTGTGAGTGCAGCAGCTTTGAAGGACGCTTGAGACGGAGGTGCACTTTCCACTGGTCTTATTGAGTTGGGAGGGGTAACGCTTACTCGATGCGCATCAATGTATACGCTCAAGCGAAGTTGGGAACCGTGGTTACTTGCATGAATGTATCAGGCTACCAGTGAAACTATCGCTCTCCCACTGTTTTGAGGGGAAACGAAATGCCGATGATGTGTGGCTGTCTTTTACTTTGTGGCATCTGTGAATACTTTACGCGGTGGAGAAAGGGGATCGTATTGAGGGTGTGTCGGTTGCAGGTTCGTTCCAATTTTGATTGGAGGAGGAGTATTTTGCATCGATTGTAACTCTTCTCGTTGCGTGGGGGAAGGAATTATCGTTCTCTTTTTTTGGTTAAGGAGTAAATAAGCCTTTTTGCACTCGAGCATATTCCAGACCATATGATTCACGCCCTGTTGGTTTATTGGGGACTCCCATATACTCTGTTTCCGTTGTTACTATATACGCCCTGACTCTATCGTTTTTTATCGGGGTGCTTGTTGCGAATTTCTTTACAGGTTTCCTGTTTCTCTCTATAGTCCACTTATTGTCGTACGCTTCTCGCTCCTGTCCGTCATCACATTCTTCCTCCGTGTCGTATTTATTCGTAGCAAGAAAATATTGTTTATTTTTTGCGGCCCCACCCAAACTTTTGGTGCTTTTGGAAAGCCATTTCCTCAAGGACATGTTGTTAGGTTAAATTTTATCGTCAACATTCACCAGTAATATATTCATCAGGTTTAATTATTGTATTAGAGTGGCGTTTTTAGATCTGAATTTTATGAATAACGCGATGCTAAGAACTACAAATTCAAGTATAATCTACGTGTAGTGTGCAAAACGGTTCGTATTGGGTTTTCTAAACAATTTGGGATCACATGTTTATTTCTTATTTTTTAATGCACTTAGCTGAGCAAAGCTAGTAACCCTAGAAGCGTGTACACAATTTTCCATATGATCCGCACTGATGCTGTAACTAAGTTGAGTTGCTGCCCGCCTAATAGTGATCCTCCAGGTTGCTCCCCGTTGTCTCCACCTAGACGACGAAACGCTAAACCTGAGTCGATCACCGCTGTTACCAAAATGAGCCTATTATGGTAGGGTTCCTGACAAAAGACGGTAGAGATGATTATAAATTGTATCCCGTTTATTTGAATAGGTTGTGAGGGAGTGCGATAACTGCCCGGAAGCTCTATCAAATCCCAGCTGCCGTCCACTGTCGTGGCATCGCCAGGCCCTGGCTCCTCCTTCGAATTCCTAAGGAATTCGGGGAGACATCACCTCATACCCAGGGCCAATCCGAGCTTTTCACCTGTGTGCTGACTTGGCCTTACGATCTGAGTGTTGCCGAGCATTCGGGTGCTTGGCTGGAAAGCGCTAAGCTTGCGCTAAAAAGCGCAAGCCATGAGCGTAGACTGGCCACGCTGGGCCACGTCCGTGACAGTATACACATGTGTCTTGAAAGTACATATAAAATATTAATTAGCAAACAAACAGAGAAGCAAAATAATATTTTTGTTCTAGTAAATGTTTCTACTTTCCATATAGTTATTTTTGAGTTTTCTGCAATACATTAGTACAGTGTTAACTATGGTTTCTGCATGTTCACCTTTTTTTACTTAAATTATAAAAAATAGAGTTGAGCACAACAATAGTTAGTGTTTGCGTCGAATTATTGTTTTAACTAAATATGGTTAATTCAGGCTTAAGATATACTTATAACAAAATAGAAAAAACCTTTTAGATACAAGTTTCCAATGTATTTCCAGTCTGTATCTCTTCCTCCCTGTTTCTGGGTGCATAACCTTTCTGGTTGGTCCTCCTGGGAAGGAGGTCGTAGTCGGTAGGAATTTGGGTATGTAATTTCATACATTAGGGTGAATCCAACACTTCCTAGGGAATTGGCATTTGTCAATACGGAAGTGTCCACAGAAGATCTTCTTTTTCCCGCTATTCAAATAAAAGAAAAAAAAAAAAAAAATGAACGAGTGCAAAATTGACATCCATATATAAAGAGACAAGCTTAGACTTGTATGCTTGATCGAAGCCAAGAGCCTACGCTATAAGCTGGCTCTAGCATCAGCCTCGATCTGCCACGCATGATGCAGGAACTTGCGCTTTGATTCCTGGGTAGTGCGAATCCAGAGAGACTTTTTGGAGCAATCACCTCTGTGAGATTTCACATGTGCTTTCTCACTGCAATGATCCTCGTAAAAGGTATGGGCAACCTTCACACAATAAAGTTGCCTGTGTTTGTGCAAAAAATGACATTATAAAAACCTTACTGATTTATGTGTATATGGATTTGAGTACCAAGAAACAAAAAGTCCTAAGTATGTGCGACAAATATACATCATGTGCTCATTACATGATAAAAAGTATGTACTGTGCGATCTCTATGTAATTGCAATTTTTATTATAATGTAGTCCATGTACATCTTTGGCTAGATGTATTTCTATACAAAAAAGCCAGTAAATGGAGTAAATTTTCGAAAAACTGCCACGCGTTAAACGCAACGCACAGGCCATGATGTCAATGCGTGGAGGAAAGTCGGAGCTCTAACGAAAGGCAGAGCATCGGTCAAGACATTACCATTCACAACTATTCCAATGTTGTTTTAAATGAATAAAAATATGAGAATGAACATAAAAGTTTCATTAATTCATTTCTACTATAGATATTTACTTACAAAATATTTAAGTTTCCCAGTATTTACTGCAGACCCTATGTAGCAAAAGCAAACTTGATAACGGAATACTTGATTCAAAAAATCTTTCACTCCTGAAAAGTTGTGTTTTCACTGATCTCAGGGTATTTTTAAATGCTTTCAAGTATATTGTGAAGACACGCAAGGCACAAAGTGTATTAAATTGTTTAGTTTTATTGTTACGTGACAAAACTGTCGAAAATTTGTAAGAAATAATCGTTTTTCTAAGTTTTAACCATATTTTGGTATAAAAAATAGTGTCTACAACAATCCTAGAGTATATTAAAATGTTTTAAAATTCATCAAATTTGGAGATCTTGAGATGACGTTCCAGAATAAAGAAAAAATTGTAGAAAAAGGGGTTTTCAGCAAATTTCAAATATGTTTTGGTCTAAAAACTGTACCTACGCATGAGAAATAATATCTGTGATGATGACAAAACGGTGTATAAGAACTCATTCAGCTATTAAGTTTTGAGATTATGTTACAGTTACATTGAAAAAATGCAAAAATACGTTTTTTCAATTTTTTAACATGTTATGGTTAGTAAGCGGTTATAATAATAGCAAGATTGTAATGTACGCGAAAATAATAAAAAAATTTAAATATTTTTTCTTTGTCCCAATTAGATCCGAAAAATCTGAAAAAATTAAAGGTATTTACTAGTTACAACAAACGTTGATACATGACTTCAGATTTTTTGGGTAAAGCAGTTTAGTAAAAGTGATACTTTTTTTTTTTAAATATACTTTTTTTAGTAGACCAGCACTCTACTATCACCTAAGGGGCTGAAATCCCGGCTTAATACTTTATTGGGATAAACTGTTGAGTGGTACATTTCAAATCAAGATCCAGGCTGCAGCATATTTGACCATCTTAACCTGCTTTTTTTATCCTTTAGTATTAGTGAGAATGAATATTTTACGTAACTTCTTGTAAAATGTCATGTTTGTCCTCATTCTTACTTTTGTTACAGGTAGTTTTTGTTGGTTATTATTGTCACAATAATATGGCAGATTTAGATAGAAAATCTAGAAATGTAAAAAATAAGTAATATTTCAAAAATTAGGTTTTTAGTGTTCTTTGCAATAGATTTAAAAAAAATTAAATATTATCTGTAACTTTGAGTTTCAAAGCACAGCAGAAAAGTAATTTTTGCCAATCTAAAGACTGACTAAATTGTGTGAGAAGAAACTTTTTTCCTTCAGTGTTTTGGAAAATAAATTTAATGTAAGACTTTTATTAGTACAGGACCCTTTATTTCTAGATTCAAAAACTAAATGATTTACGTTGAAAATAGGTAGTCTAACGGAGTTACTTTGATATTTGAATATAGATAGCATATACAAAAAATGAAACCTTCTTCGAACAAGGCCTAATGTTTTTTCTTTTAATCAACTAATTGCGTAACATCAGAAAAAAGAACACAAATAAAGCAAGAAACAAACATCTTTAATGATCATTTCTAGAATCTGGAATAAATAATACGAACTTCCTGGTACTGTTTTGTTAGTCAAGATTTTTCGATACTGTTTCGTTTTCAAGGAAATTATTTTTCTATTTCACCTTATCTTTTAAGGTTTCTTTATTTTCTTAAATTCATATATTTTCAAGAAAAAGTATGGAATACTGCCTGTTACCACTTGGTAAGAATAAGCTTCTTTTGGATAAATTTTTCAGATGATATGTAAGATTTAGGCAAAGCCAAAAAAAAAATTACTTTTCTCTGTCATCTTTCAATATGTTACTTAGTTATGTTTGCTTCTTAAATATATATTTTTGTTTATTAAATTATTATTATAACGTATTATAGGTACGAGTCAACCATAATGGCACAGTTTTTTGGTCACACACATTATGATGAATTTGAGGTATTTTACGATACTCATGATTATACTAGAGCTCTTAATATTGGCTACATTGGACCTTCAGCAACACCATACTTTAATTTAAATCCAGGATACCGAATATATTATATAGATGGTGATCACATAAATACGACACGAGTAAGTATCACCTAATAGTCAAAGCATCTATATATACCCGTAACTTTAATCATCTGTTTACTATTCCACAGTGAAACTGTCAGATCTTTAAGTTTACTATGTACTTGGGTGTCAGTTTTATGCTTAACATTATTTTAAATATACATGATGAGACCATATACCTAGTTCATGTTGCTTTTATTTTAGTAGTCGTTGTATTCCTCTAATTTATACTTCTTATATTAGTTACAAACATTGGCAAGCCTTTGCAGTTGATTGTTTTTGCATTTTCAAAGATATAATTACAAGTTACTTCCTTTCTAGTAATTTCATTGCAAACAAAAAAATTAATTTTACTTATTTTTCATGAACTTTATATTAGATTAAAAGGGATAATCAGCTTCTTTGATTACTTTATTAAGTAGTTTCTTAAAGAATGAGCACCTTTCAATTTCACTCATTTTGTGCCTTTCATCAATTTTGAGACCATGTTTTCCATCAGCCTCACTGCATAGCGTACATTTTACAACATTTTACAGAGTTATTGCAATCATGCGTTTTATCATCGTCAGTACAGTTTACACATTTTGGTGTATGATCACATTTTTTCATATTATGAAAATATCTACAACATTTTTTACATCTTGTTAAGTTACACTTATGCAACATTTTACATTTTTGACTCCCAATATATACATGTCCTCCACTCGTCAGAGTTAAGTATGCACTTTTTTTCACTTCCATTATAACATTTCCAAGTTCATGTTCAATTAGTTCAAAAATATGATTTACTTCATCCTTTCGTATATTGTTTTTCTCACATAGTTTTTTTTGCAATTTGACCTTATTTAAAACATCAGACATGTTCACTCCTATTATCTTGAAAAATGGATTTTTAAGCCTGTTAAAGTCAACTTCTGCATTATCTTTGTTGAACAGTTCTTTCGTCAGGGTCTTAATCTCATTATCTGTCAAACATTTTCATACTATTTTTTCATAAGTAACCTTTTTCAACAAAATCTTAACAGTGCTGTATTACATGAAACTCGAATAGTTGGTTATATTCTCATAACCATCCCTAGCGTTAATTGGTATAGATGCATGTAAACCAAGTGTTTTTTTTACAGCAATGGCCTTTGAGACGTAGCAAAAAAAATGTTAAGAATGCTCCCCTTTAAAAATGAGTTTTATATTCTATGTGACTGATACCGTTTCCAGCGAACACATGATTTTTTGGACTTAACGTTGCAAATTTAAGAAAACTTATTTTGTTCTGGAAAAATTTGTTGGTACTAGATTAATAGGGTTTGGAGAAGTTGCATTAAAATAATTTTTTTCCATATAAACTCGTTTGTATCATCTTGAATAACTCATTTGAAATCTTTGTTTCCTGACAGTTGTCTTAAATCACTAAAACTCACTGGTCGTTGCTTTTTATGACATGTTTCTTATTTATATAAATCTCACTACAATTATTTACGATTTTGTCAGACTTAGTGACAGGATTCACATTGAAATCTGACTTTAACTTTTTGCGACGACTTTTTTAATTTCATCGAGCTTTGCAGCAATGTACGTGGGTCTGTCACATCTATTTCCGTAAGTTTATAAAACAAGTAAGAATAGGGAAGATCTGGATTATTGATTAAGTAATTCTGATAAAACTTACAATTTTTGTTTGTGTGAACTCCTATCATTGTATCTATCAACATTTTAATGTTGGGCACAACATTTTGATTGCTTGAAGGGGAACCGGAAGTTCAAACCGATCCGTATTCAGATTCTGATTTTTGTTTGCTTTTAATTGGAGAAGGATATGACAACCCTTTACAATGGCTCTTAATGACCAGAACATATAAGAGATTTATTACCTGCATTCATAATTTTCCACGAATCACTCGCTGGAAAAAGACAATGTCTGCTAGACTTCGTGAATCTAAAAAACAAACATTTAAATACAACCAATGTTAAAACTAAATTAATTAATATGGTATTTATACTTTAAGATAATGTATCTATATGTTTGTCATACTGTTAGTCAACAGGTTGATTAAATAAATCTATGAGCACGTCCAAGCAAAACCAGACAGTGGCCGCACGAGGCGCATTTTTTTAATAACGCCCGCTTTGTTCAACTCGCTTACAATCACCAGTTAGTGGCTAAAAAATTAATACAAAAGCATAAATCAATAGATTTTTATCTGCTCTTTCTGTTAGTGCTATTATTGTAGGCTAGAACCCCTTCCTTCAAGGTCAAAATCAACTTACAAGTTGAGGTTAGTTTTTCTCAGAGTATATATCTTTTTTTTTCTTACGTTAATCAAAATAGCAACTTTTCAAGTATACGTAAATATATTTTCAGAGTGAAAGTGCAACGGGTTTGCAAGATATCAATAAATAAACACAGAGGTGCACGCCTCGGCACGTCCTCGCGTGCCACGGCTACGGCACCCAGCTGACGCTCTTTTACATATTTACTTCACGATCGAAGATAATTAGCTAAAAAAATATTTAAAAAATACGGATCAATAGATTCTGATCTTATCTTTCTAGTGGTGCTCTTAAATTAAGTCGAAATTTTTCTTTCATGGCGTAAATCAGGTTAAAAATTAGATTACCCACTCGTAATTGGTATTTATTTATCTTTTTCCCTTGAAACTTTTATTAGTCGAAAAAGCACTTTCTAACAAGATTAGTAATAATCAGAGTAGGGGAGCGGTAAATGCATTTTTGGAAGGCATTCGTTAATAATAAATCGTCAGTTGAGCAGTAGTTCATTCTGCTATTTCGTCATTATCATACTTGCTAAATCTCAAACAGCTGGCTTAAAGGAAACTCATGGACTCAACTGTGATTGCTATTATTGTTTATAATTCCTGACTCATGACAAATCCAGTGCATAGTGACGTATATAAAAAGTATGAATATTGTTGTTTTATGTTATTTGCGAGGGTTTCAGTGCCCCTGGCTCGTTGCGAGTATATTTTGCGCTAACATAAACTGTTATCGAACCTTGTGTTTTGATGAAATTTGAGGCCATAAAATCACTGTTTTTAATTAGTGCGCAAGAAAATTAGTGTCCAGTGCATGGATTTCGATCGATAATCAATGTGACAATTGTATTTTTAAAAATCATTTGAAGCTATAATCATAAGTTTCATATGTTGTTTTGATTCTTACAGTAGTAATATAAAGCATTCTTCAAACCATTGAGCTGTACCTGAGAACGTCAAAAAATTGTTTTCCTATGATACCTGATAATGCATATGTTTGTGATGAATGTAGGAAACAAGTACTTGAAGATGGACTTTAGTTACAAGATTACTTTCAAATAGTAAATAATTTTGAAGCAAAATTATGGAAGAAAAACGTTTTGAGGATTGAAAAACTTTTGCTCTAGAATTAATGACCTTCCACGTGAAGTCTCCGACAAATTGCAAAGTTTTCAAACTCATCTGTATGGTCAGCTGGTGAATACAAACTACGAGATAGTTTGATAAAAAAAAAAAATTGCATATTATACTCTCTGATAGTACTCTTGGAAAAGTCAAATTGTATTATGAAAACGATGAGAATAGCAGAATAATGCCTGAACTGACAGATAATAAGTATATTGCACAAAAGGATGGTGGTAAGGAGTTTGTGTGAGAAAGTCTCATTCTTTACAATTTGAAAGAACTTTATCTGAAACTAGCAGCCCCCCGTCTTGGCTTTGCCCGAGACTTACTAAATGGAACACCGTAGTGTGTTGACATGTAATGTTAAACGTTTTGAGTCAGAAATTTCACATTTATTCCTGACACTTCTCAGAACAAAAATCTTCTTACCAGAACATATTTGTTCGCAATCCATACAGTTTATTTGGTCAAATAATGAGCAGTAAAAATAAAAAAAATATAATTATGCTGAAAAGTACTGTGTGTTTCTTATGCCATAAAATGATGGTTGGCCATAAGGAGCCGTTGATTTGTAGTTTCTCCCGTGTAATTTACAAAAAGGTCTATTTTTTAAAGATGTTAAGATTTTAAGCTCCCAAAAATATATATTAAAAAACATTTTTTTTCTCTTACTTCACAACTTTATTACCAGAGCAACAAAGTCCTGGAGTTAATCTATACATTTTTTATAGCCCCAAAAATACAAATATATTTTCTTCTTATTAAAAAATCTGAATTTAGATCTTTAAAGATTTAAGAGATTACTGTATGGGTAAAATGAAAAGCTGATCTCTCGCGTAATGGATTCTTTATTTGTCGATTTTGAGGCTGCTGTTCCAATCTCGATCAATTTTCTGCATCAGTTTCTTGATGCTTAAAATTTTATTCATTAAATACATTTAAAATTTTCCTTCCAATTCATCCTCTTGCGACTTTTGTGACCCCTAAAGTATATTTTCTATCGACTTGTTTAAATTCTAATATATTTGTTGGTAAGGTAGTTTGACGTCCGATTTCCCTACAAAAGACCGGTGAGCTTCTTAAGTAAACTCTTTCTTGACTAAAGTTCATAGCAATTGTGACTGCCTGTACAACTCAAGGTAATTTTCTCTGGCCTGATGTTGAAGCCCCATACTGATTGGGAGAAAAATTACTTAGTCCGAAGCTTTGGGGGTAGTTGTAGTGCTCTTTTCTATCATCTCTTGATATAACGTCAAAAACGCTGGTGTCTAAGGCACCTTTTTTTTGCAGACTCAGTTGTTTTGATGATCTAACGTGGAGTGGTAGGTTCGTGATACTTACCTGTTGGAATCTGTCTCGTTGCCTCAACTTTATTTTCCTTCACAGCTGTTAGGTACGCCCATCGCAGACCTTGGAGAGGATCGGTGATTCCTGGTTAAATGCTTAGAGTCGAGAGAGTAATATAGGGTCGTTGGTCACCAGGGTTCCCAGCCTTGCGACGAATAACTCCGCTTGTGACAACTGCCAGTGAATGACTAACTTGGTTTAATAGTGGCCGGCTTTACGTAGTCTTTTAGTCAACAAATAATGTTTCCGGAAATGGTAGTAAAAATGTATTTGTTG